GGAGGCCAGCTACGCTGCACAGCACCAATGCAGGGAAGAGATTGCCAGCTGTATACATAGCCACCTTGATCCCATGGCAGCTTCTTCATACCTGCCAGTCACATGCAAACAGCAAAACCAGCAGCACAGGGGCCATCCGTTCGACTTGCCTCCCAGGGGGTCAGTTTGAAGCGGACTAAGCTGTTTATTTTAAGCAGTTAGAGTGTTTTTTTCCCCATGGACGAATGAAGCAGATAAGAGTCCGTAGCAATTTGTACACACAGGCAGTACAAGTTCCCATTCTGCCACGGGCCCTGCCACCAGGGCACGCACTGATCCTACCACCAACGCACAGAACTGCCACCAACACCCCCACTGCAGGAGGATGCTTGAGATGGCCACGAGATGGAGCAGAGATGCTGGAACTAGAGGTGGAGTCACAGCCCCTGGCTTAAGGTGGGCTCCATCATACGCTCTTGGGTTCAATGGCTCTCAGCTCCCCCCTGTACAAATTGTTCCAGACCCCCCCTCTCCAAATGGGAGTGTTGACTGCTGATTGGAACTGGGGGAGGGGGGAAAATCAGGACACCAGGCTACTGTTCTGCCATTGACACACTGTGTGACCTTGGTCACTTCCCCTCACTCTTCCCCATTATACAGATGAAATACAGACCAGATGCAGTTCACTTAGCGAACTTAAAGTGCCCTGAGAGTCCCCAATCACGGGGGTTATAGCAGGGCTAAGTCTGGTAAGAGCCACACGCCGCAGGGCCCAATGACTGTCCAAGATTGTGCCTTTGTTCCATTGCACTGCTGTAAATCTCATTGTTTCCTTTGCAGGCTAGTGAGTCCCTGAGCACTGGGCTCGGTCACCGGAGGTGAGTTGGCACGATTGCTGCAATGATCTAAACCCACGGTCTAATTATGTTTCTCGAGTGGCACAGCCAGCACGGAACAGAGGCCTGGGGGTTTCATCTGAGTTGCTTCTTGTACCGTCTTCACCCCCCTCCGAGCGAGCCGAGGCCTTCCCACTGCCGGATGGCATCTGCCCTCTCTGGGAGCAAGACCGTCTGAGAGTCAATAATAGCAACAGCATAGGGAGCACGGATGGAGGCGGGCTGAGCTGATGGGTCTCTGCCAGCTATATGGCCAGGAGACATCGAGTTCCTTTGTCCTAGGTCATTAACCAAGAGAAACAGCCTCTGCCTTGCCCTGAGTCACAGCTCCAAAGATCTGGAAAGGGAACTACCTGTATGCTGAGAGGAAACAGGCCGTGTCTGGGAATCCCTGTTTAATTGTGCTCCCCCCGCAAGCTCTGACTGGCCTGGGGCAGAAGCTAGAGCACACAAAGTCTCCTCCCACCACCAGGGGCATGGGTGTCCAGGGGGAACCTCTTGGGGGGGGAGGGGGAAGACTTCACTGGCTCTCCCACTACCAGACCAATCATGGTCTGTGTGTGGGGAAGCAGGGAAGTGTTCTGGTCCCGCCCCTTGACTGAGGCTCCACCCCTTCTGGAGCAGTCCAGGGCCACTTCAGAAATTTTTGAAGTGGCCCTGAGTAAAAAATTATTGCCCACCCCTGGTGTAGACCATGTTAGCAGGTTGCATACTCCTGGAAGCACAAGAGAAACCAGGAATGCAAATACTCTCAGTATGACTAAATGCAAGAGGTTACCTCAGCCAGACAGGAATCCTTCCGCTCATGGAAATCCATCTTACATAATAAAGGTTAAACATCAGACAGAGATTTGGAGAGTTAAGAGGAGATTTGATAGGAAATCTGACAAACACACACACACACACACACACACACACACACACACACACACACACACACACACACACACAAAGAAATTCAACACTCCATCTCCAAAGGCAGGCATAGCTGTATGTTGCTACTAATGTAATTGGCATTTACACAGTCATCATTAGGCTTCAGAATACACACTGGGAATTCCAAGCGCTTCAGTTGCATCCAAACTGGACCAAGCAAATAGGTCTCTTCTGGCTGTGGATTCAACCCATGGCCAAACAAATCTTAGGGTAAAGCAGGGCAGCACATTTGAAACCAATACAGCACTTATTTACATACTGCGTGATAGATATATCAGTGAAGCCAGAAGCATGATTATTTGGGAAATGATTTACATGGCTATCTGATCTACAGCAGAGACCAGTTGAGTCACAATTCATTTTTTCCTTGCCTCCGTCAAGACTACCAGCTTTTAACCAGCCACAGCTCCCGAACCGGGATGACTTGACTGAGATAGGGATCAGTCCCATTTATTACTTCCATTTGTTTTCTTTGCCCTGCTGCCCCATCTCCCAGATGCTGCCATAAAGGTGTTTATGGAGGATTATACAGGTGCCTGAGGTGCACAGAGTAATAATAGCTAGCAGCCGCATGTGGGGCCCACCCTCTGGACTTGGCACAGGCTCATGGCCAGAAGCTGCTGTGGAGGAAGCCAGGTGCACAGGAGTTCCCTCTCCTCCGGACTCCTTCTCGTTTTCAGTTTTGAAGTGAGTATTTGGTGCTCGTGCACGCACAGGAGCAGTCGCACACGCTAGCGCCCGGCCCAGCAGAGGGAAAGCCGCCTGCTCTGTGTCTGCCGCTGCCCAGCAGTGTGAAAGTGGAGCTGGAGATAACGAAGGCAACACGCAGGCTCCTCCCACAGGTCCCGAAACCGCCAGGGGCTGGAGTTGTTGCAGGGCTCTGCTCAACCCGTCGGCAATGAAGGAGTAGAGGAAACCCATATCAAAGCTGTCATCCTATTTCACAGGGTCTGCTACAAATTCCCAACAACGTGGTTGCAGTCAGACCAGAACTGGAAAATACACCCGGCCTGGCTAGGGATGTAAAATCCCTGTTTATTTAGTTAAGTGATTAAACCTTATGTCCAACCCGCTAAACAGGGATGGGTAGGTTGGAGCCATGGGCTGGAACTGCAATACATCAGGCTGGGGCTGCCAAAGGTGAGGTTGCCAGGTGTCCGGTTTTGAACCGGACAGTCCAGTATTTGAGCTTTCTGTTTGGGAAACAAATTGAGAAAATAGAAATGTCCGGTATTTTCTAAATAAGATGTCATGTAGATTGTGATGTCACGTCAAGTGTGTCCAGTTTTTTTGTTGAAACCATCTGGCAACCCTAGCGTGGGTGGTGGCTACTTTGGCCGGTCTGGAGCACCCTGTCCTGCAACCGGCCCCTCTAGGCTGCTCCAGTCCTCGCCGGTGAACTGCAACCGGGAAGTATCACCCAGTAAGCACATGACCTATGAGGAGAGACTGAGGGATTTGGGTCTGTTTAGTCTGCAGAAGAGAAGAGTGAGGGGGGTTTTGACAGCAGCCTTCAACTTCCTGAAGGGAGGTTCCAGAGAGGATGGAGAAAGGCTGTTCTCATTAGTGACAGATGGCAGAACAAGGAGCAATGGTCTCAAGTTACAGTGGGGGAGGTCTAGGTTGGATATTAGGAAAAACTATTTCCCTAGGAGGGTGGGGAAGCACTGGGATGGGTTCCCTAGGGAAGTAGTGGAATCTCCATCCCTAGAGGTGTTTAAGTCTCGGCTTGACAAAGCCCTGGCTGGGTTGATTTAGTTGTGATTGGGCCTGCCTGGGGCAGGGGGCTGGACTTGATGACCTACTGAGGTCTCTTCTTGCCCTAGGATGCTATGCTTGCTTGCCCGTTAACCATTCACATCTCTAGGCCTGGCCCCTCGAATCCTAACAAACTCAGACAGGGCTGGTATAGACCCAACAAATCCAGCATCTTGCCAGCGGGGCAGACGAGATGACCCGTAGGGTTAGAAGGGACCCTATGTCTCAATGGTACTTCTTCCAGGAATTCACCCCACATTCCCCTGTAAAATGTTAGAGTCGGTCAGGGAAGCATTAAGATTCTAGTCTGGGCCCATTGCTAATACAGGATCTGAAGTTCCAGTCACTCCGCTAATAGGCAACTACGCGACGGTTAATGCACCCTCAGTGCTCGCTTTGGAAAGGTGCGCATGCACTCTGGCTTTCAACGAGCCCCAAACCAACGTGGAAGTGCCAGAAAGCCCAAGCTGAGTTTGAACTTTGCAGGCTTTCCTCCCAACAGCAGCACTCGGGGGGATCGAACGCGAGAGGAGAGGTTAGAATAGACCAGATTGGGCTGGTAGACTAGATCAAAACCAGCAGGGCTGCATAGAGCAGGTTGCATGATATCACTGCTTCTTATTGGCACTGCAATAGCAGTGGTTGTATTGGACCTAAAGCGCCCCAGTCATGGATCAGGGCCCAGCTGGGCTAGAGGATGTATAAACACAAAACAGACAGTCTGCCCCAAAGTAGTATGGATTAGACCGGGGGGGAACGGGTAAATTACGGCCCGTGGGCCACATCCAGCCCATCAGACATTGGAGAGCAGGGTCTGGGGGCTGCCCTTCTCCTTGCATGCTGGAGCTCTGTGTGTCTCCCACAAGCAGCAGCATCTCCCCACTCCAGCTCCTATACACAGGGCAGCCAAAGGAGCTCTGTCCATCTGCAGCCCCACCCCAAGCAGCATCTCCCAGCTCCACAGCCAATGGGAGCTTCAGGGGTAGCACCTGGCAGGGGTGGCACAAGGGGGCAGCACAGAGAGCCACCGGGCCGTGCCTCTGCATAGGAGCGGGCTGAAGGGGGACATGCGGCTGATTCCGGGAGCTGCTTGAGGGAGCAGACACATCTGGAAGTCTGCACCCTGATTCCTCCCCCATACCCCAACCCTGATCCCCCTCCCACTCGCAGAAGCCCTCTCCAGCTGCACCTCAGAGCCTGCATCCCCAGCCAGAGCCCTTCTTGTCCCTTCCCCACTCCAACTCCCTATCCAGCCCAGATCCCCATTCTGCACCCTGAACCCCTCGTTCTTGGGGTCCCCCAGCTCCAGCTGGAACCCTCTCCCCTCCCATTCCAATTTCATGAGCATTCATAGCCCTCCATACAATTTCCATACCCTGATGTGGCTCTTGGGCCAAATAGTTTGCCTATCCCGGATTAGACTGTACTGACCTGGGATAACAGATGCCGCTTTTGCAAGCTACAAGGAGTCCTGTAGCACCTTATAGACTAACAGATGTATTGGAGAAGAAGCTTTTGTGGGCAAAGACCCACTTCGTCAGATGTAGTTTGGACTAGACTGAGATGAGAGTTCAGGCTGGGTTTGATGTGGATGGTAGGTTAAGTCGTGCAGGACTGGGATAAGATTCGATTGATGCCTTCGGTTGAACTGCATAAAGAAGAGCAAATTTGATTACACGGTCACAGGCCAGGTGTACCCTACAGACCGGTGTCACAGTAAGTGAAAAGTCTCCACTCCTCAGTGATATCCTTACAGTGACCTGACCCTCCCTGTAGGCAACATGCCGTTGACAGGAGAGCGTCTCCCATTGACATAGCTACCACCTCTTAGGGAGCTGGATTAACCATGCTGACCGGAGAAGCCCTCTTAGGAACATCTTCCCTTAAGGCCTACAGCCAATGCAGCATTGTAGGCGTCAACCTACTTGTAGGCACAAAAACTAACAGCATGTTTTTAAACAACATCAGAAGCAGGAAGCTTGCCCAGTGATGCTGGACCGCTTCCTAGCAGAGGTGCTGAAAGCAAGCCTCCTTATCCTCGTCCGCCCTCCCCCTAACTGGAGCTGGGAGCAGGGTTGTGTTTTGGGGAGGGGAGGGCCTGGACAGGAGAAAGGGGACTGAGACTTGAGCTGACAGCTGGTGCTCCAGACGCAGGGCCAACAGCAGATCCCCGTGTAAAATTTGGGGGTGCTGCCAGTGCCTCTAGTTCTCACCGTTGCGAGCCCGCCCAACTGGACAATAGAGGTGTTAACACAGCACCCAGGGGAGACAAAGTCATTGCAGATAAACAAAATGAATTCTTTGCACTGGGCTTCCCACACCTCCGCCATTCTTTCAGGGGATAACTCTGAGGAACAGTCCCAGATTGAGGTGTCAAAAGCAAACTGAAAAATTAAACACTAATGAGTCACCAAGACCACAGGGTATTGACCCAAGGTTACTGACGTAACTCAAAATATAAAACAGCAGAACAGCTAGCTGTGGTATGTAACCTACAACTTAAAGCAGCCCCTCTACCACATGACCCAATTAAAAAAAAAAAGGTACCAGAGTCGATCCTGACAATTACAGACCAGAGAGCCTAACGTCAGTGCCAAGCAAATTAGTTCAAACTATAGCCAAACCCATAATTATCAGACTCCTAGATGAACACGATATATTGGATCAACATGGCTTTTCAAAGGGAAACCATGCCTCACTAATCTATTAGAATTCTTTGAGAGTATCAAGAAGCATGCAAAGGTTGACCCCATGCTTAGAGTGTAGTTGGACTTTCAGGAAACCTTTGGCAAGGTCTCTCTCCAAAGGATCTGTATTGGGACCAGCACTGTTCAACACAGCCATAAATGCTCTGGAATAGAGAGTAAACAGCAAGTTTGCAAAGTGTGCAAACAGTTCAAAGTTGTTCAAGATAATTAAGTCCAAAGCTGGCTGTGAAAAACTACAGAGGAATCTCACTGCACGGGGTGATTGGACAACGAAAGGGCAAATGAATTGTAATGTTTATCAATGCAAAGTAATGCATACTGGAAAATAATCACAGCAGCAGTTTAAAAAGCTAACCATTTTAGAAATCATTAGAAAAGGAATAAATAAGACAGGAAACATGGTAATTCCACTCTCTAGCTACACTGTTGATCCACACCTTCGAGACTGCAGTTCAGATGGCCCCTTTTGAAAAAGAGATAGAAAAATTGGAAAAAGTACAGAGAAGGCATGAAAGATGATGGGTACGGAGCAGCTTCCCTATGAGGAGAGATTAAAAGACTGGGACTGTTTAACTTGGAAAAGAAGACTATGGGGACAGAATAGAAACTGATGAATGGTGTGGAGAAAGTTTTATTTACCCTTCACATAACACAAGAACCAGATTAATAAGCAGCGGCAGGTTTAACACAAGCCTGAGTACTGCTCCTTCATACAACACACAGTTAACCTGTGGAAGTCATTGCCAAGGGCTGTTACGAAGGCAAAAAGGATGAAGAATTAGGTGAATTCCTGGTGGATAGGTCAATCAGTGGCTACTAGTCAAGATGGTCATGCCCTGGATTCTCCTAAATCTCTGACTACCAGAAGTTGGAATTGGATGACAGGGGATGGATTACGCCCTTCTATGTCCTGTTCCATTCATTCCCTCTGAAACACCTGGAAAACTGGCCACTATCGGAAGATAGAATACTGGGCCAGATGGACCATTTTTCTGACCCAGTCCAGCTGTTCTTATGATCCAGGGTTGCCAACTCTCCAGGAGTCGTCCTGGAATCCAGGAATTGAGGATTAATTTTTAGAGCCCTGTGTGGATACAAAAGTTTGACTCCCCATCAATATCTGCAAAAATGAGCCACAGATATGCATGGATTTATAGGGCTCTATTAATCTTTAACTAAAAGATAGTTATGTGATGAAACCTCTGGAAATAGATCCAGCCAAAACTGGCAAGCCTATTGTGAACTGGGATGAAGGATTAGATCAGATTGGGACGATAAGGCCAACAGACACAAGGCATGAACTGCCTCTCTTCCCCATGCCAGAGCCTGCCATTCAACCAAAGCACTCCAGATATCTCTACACTACAATCACCCCTCCACGCCAGGGCCGTGAGCTGACTCAGGTCGCAAGGACGTTCAATTACAGCGCAGACACTTGGGCTGGAGCCTGGACTCCGAGATCCTCGTCACTTGTGGAGTCCCAGAGAACGGGGCTTCAGCTCGAGCCAAAATGTCTGGGCTGTGATTTTTAGCCCCACGGCCCAAATCCAGCAAGCCAGAGTCAGCTGACGTGGGCCAGCCACGGCCATTTGATTGCAGTGTAGACATTCCCTCCCTGCCTGCTGCAGGAGGCAATCCGGATAGGGATCAGTGAAGCAGGGAGAAACACAAATACCCTTACACACCAGGCCCTCCCTTCCACAGTAACCATAGCGCTGACACTGGGTGGGTCTCCCTGCAGGCGACCGGCTCCGCTGAGAGATGGGTGGCTGGGAGGAAGGGGCCAGGCGATGGCAGAGCTAGCACGGCCCTGCCTCACACAGGTGGGTGCTCCCAGCACGCCAGCAGGTTTTTATGGCCCTGAGGGAAGCGTGGCCACCTCAGCCACTGGCCAAAGGAAGAGAGTGGCCTGAAACATCACTCAGTGCCATGACTTGGTGCCCGGCATCCGACATGGGTGCCCAGGGAGACGAGCCCCGTGCCAGCAGCTCCTACTTGAGAGTAGGCCTCTGTCTCGGCCCTCACTCGCCAGCACCCCATCCCCACATTGGGCCTTCAGCCACTTGTGTGTGTGAGCCAGTGGTGTAGCCAGAAACTTTGGGTGGGTGGGCAAAAATAGGGGGAAAGTGGGACAGGAGTGATGGGGGGTAAGCCCCACCCTACTCCCCTGAAGTAGAGCAGGACAAACCCCCGGGGGTCAGCCTAGAGACAAAGTTGGCAGGCCACAGCACACTCATGGCTACACCCCTGGTGTGAACTGGGGAGGGACAGTTCTCCGGAGTGAGGCTTGGACAGAGAAAGGGGATTCCCACACCCAAGCTACGTCTAGACTGGCATGATTTTCCGCAAATGCTTTTAACGGAAAAGTTGTCCGTTAAAAGCATTTTCGGAACAGAGCGTCTAGATTGGCATGGACGCTTTTCCACAAAAGCACTTTTTTGCGGAAAAGCGTCTGTGGCCAATCTAGACGTGCTTTTGCGCAAAAAAAGCGCCGATCGCTATTTTCGCCATCGGGACTTTTTTGCGCAAAACAAATCTGAGCTGTCTACACTAGCCCTTTTGCGCAAAAGTTTTGCGCAAAAGGGACTTTTGCCCAAACGGGAGCAGCATAGTATTTCTGCAAAAAGCACTGATTTCTTACAGTAGGAAGTCAGTGCTTTTGCAGAAATTCAAGCGGCCAGTGTAGACAGCTGGCAAGCTTTTCCGGAAAAGCGGCTGATTTTCCAGAAAAACTGGCCAGTCTAGACACAGCCCCAAGTTGAAGAGGAATAAGCCAGTAAGGGCTTCCTACTTACTCCCAGCAACAACTGAGCATGGGGAGAAGGGGACAAGAATGGAGCACGCTCCCAGCTCAGGCAGGCTAGGGCATGCCCATAGAGGATGTAAGGTTTGTTTCCCCAGGGACAGCACGTCTTAATGATCAGCTCTTCACTGATTTTAATTACAGGTATTGGGGGAGCACCTAGTAGCCCACATCATGGTCCATGACTCCACTGTGAGGCATTGTACAGACACAGACCAAGACAGCTCCTGCCCCAAAGAGTGGACAATCACAGCCCTCAGCCTCCCACCTCCCGCCCACAGGGCACGGCCAATGTTCTGAGAAAACACATTTCTGCCCATTTTAGCCTGGGATAAGCCCAGTCCTCCAGGGCACGTGTGACCAAGTGGTACGGAAGGGGAGAGCCAGCACTAGGGCAAGGCAATGGGGGCAGCAGGTTACCTGAGGGTGGCACTCAAGTCCTGCTACAGTTAGGGATACGGGCTGGCAGCAACGGAGCCCCGGGGGTTACAGAGGAGGCTGGGTACAACGGATTGATACGTATCAGTAAGGTCGACTGACCACCTGATTGCACACAGACATTAGAGCCTTTCCACTGCTTGTTCCAGCTTGCCACACACTTCCAGCCCTGCAGCCCCAGCACAGGAAAGATAAATCCATGTAGCCCCCAATGCAAGCCTTCCCTTGCCCCGGCCCCAGCTTGTCCTGCCTTAGCCATTCTCCTCAAAGCATCCTCTCCCCCTCACTCTCCTCTGTGCCCTCTCCTGCCCACCGGCCTCTCCTTTTCTTGCTCTCCCCTTCGTGGGCCGCCGTTGCCTTGGTCAGGCTGTCTTGTCTCGGTCCTTCTCAGCACTGCCAGTACAAATCCGTAGAGACGCAGCACAGCACGGAGAGATCACAGCCTGCCCTGTACCAGCCCAAACAGCCCAGCACAGTACAAGGCACAGCATCCACCTGCATGTTTGTTGTTCTTCCCTTAATGCCTGAGCTGTTCTTCCTCTGGGTTCTGTAAACTGCTGCCTTTGTCCCTTGGGATTCAGCCTGGGAAGTCACTGTGTGCAGCCCATCGGGGAGGGGCTGGCACAGCCACCAGCGACGGGCATCTCAGTGCAAAGCGGGCGTGACCCGCCCACAGTGGCGGAGCGAGGACGGACGGTGCCGGCCGCCTTTGTTTCCACTAATTGTTCTAAGCTCAGAAGAGACAGGCCGACCCCGAGTCCTAGAAAGGAAGGTTTTGCAGACATCTCCCCAGCTCGGCTCCGCAGCCCTCGCTGCTGGGCCCGGCCTGGATTCCCCCTTCAGCTCTATGAAGCCTGAGATTGTGACCTGCCACTGCAGCTCGATGTTCCAGTCCTCACGTTCCTACACTGTCCCACTGGCAGGCGGAGGTGACTAGCACTCTGGGCTGTTCCCACCCCAGACTGTGCAGGTGGATCCTCCATCAGGTGCGGCTCCGCCTCCCTGAAGGAGAAGCAGCTAGTCAGGTGCTGGGTATCATGCTGACATGCCCACAGCTGCCTAGACCTAGTGCAGCGTGCTGACATTAATACTTCACCCATTACAAAAACTAGTGCCACATAACCCTAGTGGGCCTATTAACCGCTTCCTTCCAGCTCCCCTAGCTAGCACCCAAACCAGGGTCGCCATTCACCTTTGCAGACCCCTGCACTCACAGTGGTACAATCCCCCCCAGGCACCATGCCCATGTCTTACTGGGACAGAGCCCACCCTTCAGCAGACGGGGAAGCCCAGGGTCTAAGAACCACTTTGGCCTCAGGCAGGACTTGCCGTGCTTTCAGTGACTGCTGGATGGAGGGCTCCTGCCCTGCCACTTGAGTGCCTGGAGAGAGGCCTTCACTGTCACCCGAGAGCACCTTGCACAGGCATTGCACCGCTGCATACAGGGATGGTTGGGTCTGTCTCAAGGAAGACATGGGCCAATGGTGCCCCGTCCACAACCCCCTTCCTGGCTGCTAACCAGGGAAAGGCAGGGTGATCTCAACCCTGCCCAGCCACAAGAAGCCCAGTGACTTTGATACCATTAACTCACGTTCGCAGTAATGTAAACAGCTTGTCAGCTTGCTGCACCCAACCTCCCTATGGGGAAAACGTGAGCTGAGGCTGTAATCCCCTCTGCTCACTCTCCTTGGCACGTTAGCCAGCCTTGGGAGGGTCATTTCTGGGACAGGTGACCCATGCTAAAGCCCTCCCCACCCTTCACCCCCCGCCAGCCACAATAGATCAAGCCATTCTCTGCCCGCTGTTCCCAGGCATACACAGCCAGCCAGGTGAAACCAGCAGTGACAAGTGCCAAGAGAAGGGATGTTGTCTTTTCACACCATGCCCAGCGTGTCTCTGGGCTGCAGCACCGCCTGACTCATGGACTGCTGCGGTTCCCACACTAGCTGCCACAGAGAAATGCAAATTCTTTCTTTTGTGCATGCAAATGATCCTTGGGCATAACGGCCTCAAGGAGCAGAGCTCCCTGGCCAGCATCGTGGGAGACGGGTGGCAAGCCCTCTTCCTGAGAACGCCTCGCGGGCTTGAGAGCAAGTACAACCGAGGGTTGCAAAGACCTGAAGTCCAGAGAAGCTGCCAGGGCCCCAAGAGACTGGAATGGATCTCAATTCAAGGCTCTTTGGCGTGATGTTGGTCTGGTTCTACAGTGCCCCAAGCACTGCTCTCTAAATACAAGGGTCGGCCGTTTTGTCCCATGGCAAAATTGGGGTGATTTTATTTTGCCAAAGCTCCTTATGTCAGTTCCAGCAACGGAAAACACAGGGCAGGTCGGGTCAGATCACAGTCCACGTTTACCCCAAAAGATGAAGCTAGAAGGTTAGATAATGAGCCCTGGGTTGGATTCATCCCCCATTGTCCCCTTTGGGGAGAACTAGATGATCATTAGGTTCAGAAATTAGAGAGGATGCAACACCCACCATGCTGAGAAACCAGGGCTCTAATAAATCTGGTCTCCTGCTTCTGGCTATGGCCAGTTCCTGGTACATCAGGGAAAGTGAAGATGCCCATGACACATGTGGGTAATCAATGCTATGCATAGGGAGGTGGTAATGCTGCCTGATTCACGGCAATCAGCTCATGGCCTGAATGATTTGCGCAAGAGGGCTTTTGCCCGAACGGGAGTAGCACAGTATTTCCGCAAGAACACTGACGATCTTACATGAGATCCTCAGTGTTCTTGCGCAAATCCAAGCGGCCATTGTAGACAGCTGGCAAGTTTTTCCGCAAAAGCAGCTGATTTTGCGGAAAAACTGGCCAGTCTAGACACAGCTGGAGAGTTAACGTGTTGCTTGCTAGCCATAAACTTATCCAGCCCCTTTTACACTCAGCCACAGTGTTGAACACACACGCCTGAGGCAGTGTTCCATAGGTCAATCCCATGCTGCAGGAGGAGGCATTGAAGATTTTACTTGCTTTTGGACAGAGTAAATCTGTTTTGTTAGGACTGGCAATCAACTATAACCTCTCTTAAATTCGCAGCATTACTCTGTCAAGAGAGTGTCAAGCATCCCTTCGCAGTCATTGAAGCAGCCATGGTATTTTAGAACAAGGTCTCCGTCCTTCAATTACTCTTTCTGGTTTAGCCAGGTTACGAATCTACCTCTAGTTCTCCTCAATCTTAAAAAAAAAAAACTAAGTACAGTCATGCTGGTCACAGCTATCCCGGTCCGCTCCCAAAGTGATTGAGTTGGGGTTAGCTTGATGACTCCTGAGGTCTCTTCCAGCCCTGGGGTTCTCTGATTGCACTTTAGCAATTGGTGCAGTGATCCCTACCTTTAAAGTTGTTAATAAAACCTGACTCTTATAGCTCACCTGCCACCTGCAGATCTCTCAGCACTTCACCAAGTGGGGTGCCAATATCCTTGTCCTCCTTTTACAGTTGGGGAAACTGAGGCACAGAGTGGTGGAGTCATGTAACAGACCAGGAACAGGAGCCAGGTTTCCTGCAGGTGAAGCAGAAGCAGCATGGGGTTTTAATCCCAATTCTGGGGTGAGGCAACAGGAAGGAATAGCACAAAGAACTGATGCCCCTCCAGCAGGCCTCAGAAATCACGGGGGGGCTGACACAGAGGAACTCCCGGCAGGAAGGCATGAGAGAGGGAGGTCATGACAGCCTGCTGCAGCCTTCCCTCCCCCTGCTCCAAAGAGGCCATTCCTGCATAGGAGATCAGCCACCCTGGGTCCTCTCAGATGCTGCTCAAGGGGGACTGAGCCAAGGCCAGACTGGGTCCTTTAACTGGGGGTCAGGCCACACCCCTTCTGTCAGAAATCAAGGTCAGGCAGGTGGTTCTCATGCTGCCACAATTGAAACAGGTTGCCCTCTGCACACCTACCAGCACTGTGTGCTGACAGCAGGTGCTGAGGAAGTTGGCAATTCAGCTGGGGGAGGGGGGTGGCAGTAGGCAAGAGCCTTCTAGTCTCTGTCTTCCAGGGCCAGAAGAAACAAGGAAAGGCCAAGACGAAGGCGCTGCAGGCTGAGCGCTGACTCAAGGGTGAGTCACAGAGCTAAGGAAACGTGTCATTCCAGACTAACCACCCCCCGGGCTCAGAGACACCCTCCCCCACCTCCCAGACAGCTCGCTGCCGCGCTCAAGACACAGGCACTTTGTACTCCTAGTGCAGTCAGACACAGCAGCACCGGCAGGTGTAACGTTCTCCCTAGGTGCTGCAGAATTAACCCACTGAACTGCCAGCACAGCGTACAGACCTACACAGCACCCCGCAGCACCGACACCCCTGGAGTGCCGGGGGAGATGGGCTGGCCCCACACACCCCAGGGGGCCTTTGCAGAGGGGAGGCAAATGCGAGCAGTCCTATCCAGTGTCAGGGTCCCAACAAAACCCCATAGGCCCTGGCAGCGAGGCCGTGTGTTGCTCTGCTTCCTGCCCATCCCTGTACCACGTACCAGGATAAACAGGGCGCTGAGGGCCCACTTGAGAACGCTTGGATGCCTAAAGGGACAGTCCCAAATCCCAGTTCAATGCCCTAGACTGACAGGACCCAATTTCCAGCGGCGCTGAGGCACCCAGAGGCCGCCCTGGCTCTGAAGTCGCGTCCTCTCTCCTGTACCACAAGAGCTGGCTCTAGTTCAGACACAGGGATTTCTTTGTGAAAGAACCACCATTTTCTCCATGAGCCAACCTGCTGTAGAGCAATCCAGTGGGCACCCAGCAGAACCGTAAAACCCCTCCTTTGCTCCCTGAGCCACCGGCGATTTCCTGCAGACACTAAACAGGTTTATAAGAGGAAATCCAGGTGGTCTTGGTCAGCTGGGATGGGAGATCCGAGCTACAGTTTTTGGGCACCAGTACCAGGAAGGAGTTTTCATTTTAAGCCAGTGACTTAATGATTAAATACTCCACGTTTCATCCAAGAATGACAAAACCCTTTATACAGACTGTTTATTGAAACCTCACCAAGCTCTGGAGAGGAAAGGCTCGTTCGGCCTATTTTGCAGATGGAAAAACTAAGGCCTGGAGAGATGAACTAACTAATCAGTAAAAGCGACAAGGAGTCCTGTAGCACTTATAGACTAACAGATGTATTGGAGCATAAGCTTTCGTGGGCAAAGACCCACTTTGTCAGATGCATGTGACCTTTGGGCACAGAACTCAGGAGCCAGGGTGCCCACTTCCCTGGTGTACGCACACCCCTTCCCGGGGCTGGAAGCAGAACCCAGAAGTCCTTCCTCTCAGGCCATCCTGCCTTGCCTTTGGAAAGACGGTCTCAGCTTCCAGCCTGCGGCTTTCTCTTCATCAGTTAGTGCGCAAAAGCCAAGACACAGTGAAGTTTTTGCTGTCAGTGGCAGATTGAGGGCAGGCAAATGTTTGCTCTGTCAATACATAACTAATCCTCAACCCAAAGACTATTAAAACAGAGAGAGGGATGGGAATTCACTGCCCTTTAAAGCAAGATTAACAGAACGGTACAGAGCAGCGCGTCAGGGCAAGGACCACATCTTCCCGTGTGTTTGTGCAGCACACAATGGGGTCCCGATTCTGGCTGCTGCTCTTGGAATATAAATATTAAATCAATATGCCATAGGACACATTTGGGTGGAGAGAGCGCCATGGGGAGCAAACCTGTGCCCACGGGACCTAGAACCTCAGGGTAGGCACCCCTAGATGGAGACAGGCATGCTGCATCAGTGCTGGTTACAAATCAATACATGCAATAAAGAGGGTGGTGTCAGTCCTCTGAATCCCAGAAGCTCAAGAAATTTGCATGGAGGGAAAGGGGCAGGAGAGGAAGAAGTCTCCAACGATGTCAGGAGCTGGTATTCAAAATGGGACTTCTGGTAGTTTTGCAGGTAAACGTGCAGGCATAAGTAACTGCACACCTGTGATGGGTGTGGGGCACTTTCCCATCTAGTGGCACAGAGACCACTTACAGAGGGAATAATGAGTCTGCTCTACAGCCTTAGCTAAGAGCTAGCTTTTAGCGCATGTGGTAGCACCTCATGCTCCGTTCTAGAGGTCCTAGGTTCAGTTCCCTCATCGCATTACACAATCTAAACTGATAACTAATTCTAAAGCATTATAAAGGGAGACCATAGATAAAAGCTGCACCAACTAAAGCTATTTCTGTGTAGTCAAGGTCTAGGTCTGCTCAGGTTTCTGGAATTCCAGTGATGCTGCTGATTTTATCCCAAGTCTCATGATATCTGATGCAAGTCAAGAAGTCGAAGCTCCAAGAGCTGAGAGAGTAGGTCAAATTGTTTATTTTAAGATGAAAATGTAGCCTTCTTGGTGGCAGAGCAAAGCTTGCAAATGTGACCCAACTGCTCCCAGGAGGCACAAAGCAAGTAAGAACCACCCCTAACTTTTGTTTTTAAATCTCATGATTTTGGTGTGTGGAGGGAGGGGGAGTTATCCAACTGATAATTGTTAACACTGATGCCACAATGTGCATGCTCAGAACCTCTAGTATAGCCACTCCCATACTGATGTTATGTCTCAATACTGCAACCAGATCCCGCTGTGAGGGCAGGGACCTAGACTTGAAGGCCTCTCAAGGCCCCTTCCAGTTCCAGTGTTCTATGATTCTAAACTCAATCAGTAACCTGAGGCCTGATTTTCAAGCCCTGAGCATGAACAGTTCCTGTTTCACTTGGACAACAGCTGCTCAGGTCTTCTGAAAAGTCAGGTCCAAAACACCTAAGTACAGAAGATGATCAGAACTGGGATTTTAACGGCAATTCCTACACAGCCTTAGGATATGGATTCATTCCTTTCCCTGCCTCACAGCACAGAAGGGAGCCATGGTGTTGTAGAAGTCCAAGAGCTCTGTTAACCAGAGTGCCAACCAAAATCCTTTCCCATCACTGTCAATGAGCATCGGCAGAGGTTTTAAGCCAGTGACTTAATGATTACATACTTCATAGATATAGTAACAAAGCAGAACAGATGCTGCTCAGTTAGGGTATGTCTACACACATTTTTTTTTTTCAGGAGAAAGATGCAAATACCGCAGCGCATTTGCATACTTCCTCCACTTTTTTTTTTTTCGGAAGAGGCTCTTCCAGTATTTACCCATGTCTACACATGGCCGAGTTTCGAAATAAACCCCTATTTCAAAAGACCCCTTAATTCTTCCTACAATGAGGTTTACAGGGGCCTTTCAAAATCGGGGTTTATTTAGAAAATTGGCTGCATGTAGATGTGGGTAAATACCGGAAGAGCTTCTTCCTCTGCTTTTTTTTTTTTGGGGGGGGGGGGGGAAGTATGCAGATGTGCTGCGGTATTTGCATCCTTCTCCTGAAATAAAAATTGCGTGTAGACATGCTCTTTGTGCAACAACGAAGCAGTCATGAAAAGAACAGTAGAGGAACCCTCAAATCAGGGAACTTTTGTGCATTTTCTATACCAGCTATGAAAATCACCACCAAGCCGGTTCCAACAGAAACCAGAGTCCTTTCCAAAGCACCTTCTCTGAAGGAGCTCAGCAATCTGTGCAGAGGACTTGCAGCTCCTGACCATGATAATTTATTTACAGTTCAGTAATATCAAGTGAAAAAGAAACTCCTTATCCCAGTTCTGAGTGCCCTTGACCAAACAGTTAAACCAGCAGTCATTAAATCCCACAACCTTATGTGCAGAAGTACAGGAGGGCTGGTGTTCCGATCAATTCTAATTCATCAGCCCACTTAAAATTCTCCCTGTAGGTCTTCTTCACTTATCCTATTGAACAGTCATGTCGTGTGCTCCGTTAAATGGCTTCTACTTCAGCGACAGCAGCATTTCTGTGCTAGATGAAACGGTGCATATGTAAGCACACTCTTTACACTTGAGCAGATTATGTCAACGGGACCCAACTGATTCTTTTAAAACACATTTAAGCCTCAAAGAGCCCCTTCCTCAGGGGGAAGGATAGAAAGGGCAGGGATGTTAGGGTTTAGTATTGGAAATTGCCTGTTGAACTTGTAATACTTAGTATCCTTAATAGAAAGTTTTATGCCTTCGGTTTTGGTGCACGAAAACTCAGTGGCTGCGTCTAGACTGGCATGATTTTCCGCAAATGCTTTTAACGGAGAAAGTTTTTCTGTCAAAAGCATTCACGGAAAAGAGTGTCTAGATTGCTTTTGCTCAAAAGCGTCCGTGCCTATCTAGACACGGTTTTGCACAAGAAAGCCCCGATCGCCATTTTCGCCATCGGGGCTTTTTTGCGCAAAACAGTTTTTACCTGTCTACACTGGCCCTCTTGCGCAAAAGCATTTGCACAAGAGGGCTTTTCCCCGAATGGGAGCATCATAGTATTTGCAGAAGAACACTGACAATCTTACTTAGATCGTCAGTGTTCTTGCGCAAATTCAAGCGGCCAGTGTAGACAGCTGACAAGTTTTTCCACAAAAGCAGCTGCTTTTGTGGAAAAACTTGCCATTCTAGATGCAGCTAGTCACAGTAGATGAGATAAATGTGTCTCAGAGTCTGTATCTTTTCCTTACAGAAACAAAATTCCAGGTGTGTACAACACAGTGCATTAGGGTATGGAGAAAGCTTACATTTTCCACTCAATCAGACATTGGTCTGTTTTTCTGTATCTCCTACTGGTGACTCAATACCACCAAGTTAGACATTTTAACCCTGTCAAGACACAAGCTTTTGGGGTTGTGTTCAGATTGGCATTTTCAGACGAGGTGTCAGCATTTCCTGGTGAGACACTGGCCTTTCACGTAGCTGCTTCTAGCTCATCTGGCAACACCGTCAGGCCAACCACCTGACAGCTCTGGCAAGCAGGTAACTTTCCCCTGGCCCATATCCTTGAGATTGGCCCATCTCCCACACTAAGCCTTCCACCATTGGCACATCCAGAAGAAACTGGCACCAGCCAAAAATACATTCACTTTCCTGATTCTAAGGACGTACCCTACTACGCATACTGTAGTAACAGGTGTGATATAAAAAC